ATAGAATTGTAGCCACCAAAGTAACAGCGTGCATCTCAGAGCGCTGTAAGAATCACTAAAAACAGGCTCAATGGGGGCAAGAAAAACAAGCAATGAGGCAGTTACATAAATTGTGAGCGCATCTAAAACGTTATTAATAATCCCTCATTCCAAAGGAAATCCAGGAGTGTGTACAACTGGGGCAAGAATGGTGGCTCAAAGTTAATCCAGTTAAGGAAGTTGGTCTGTAATATGAGATGGAAATTTTGGTTATAAATTCACAGTTTACCTTAATTTTTTCTCCCACAAAAAACTGGCCTAGATTGCAGCATTCACTTTGGTGAGTAGAAGTTTAATAGAAGCAATCACCAGAACTACAAGCTACAAAAGAGTTGGCAGCCATAACAAGAGCATCATAGTGGTGCCCTAAAATGCTCCCTTTATGGCTTGTAGGATGTACATTAGTAATCTCAAAGTTAGTTTGCTTAACATGCAGTTGTGATTCTCACAGTCACATCCGATCCGAGCTGAACTAACCTCCATTTGGGATTATGGGTCTAAGTCCATGTTTGATGAAAGGGCTTGGATGAGAACTAGCAGACACTTGTCTGTCGTCTTCTACCACCGGCATCGGAGGATTCCCCCACTAAGTCATGTGATTTACTCCCGACTGCTGTAAATTCTTTCAAATCTCCTTTCATCTCCGTCCCGGTGATGAAAAGAGCCACCATTACCTCTTTGAGAGAAAGCATTATACCAAAGCACAAGCAGTGATTTGCAAAGATCGCAATTATGCACGTGTAAACATCTGCATGCCATTTGTAAGCTTATGTCTTTAAATGCACCGTCATGATTTCCAAAAGTCACATTTAATGATATGAGCCACGGGCAAATCGATGCACAAGCAAGTGAGAGCATCTCCAGAGCTGCTGCCTGTGATTTTACAGCACTGATCATTTGTTTAATCACATCACTGCATCTACAGAGAGACATGCAGAGAGGAAGAGAATCCAACCTTTCTGCAGAGCCTTGAGGTCTGAGGTTCCCAGAAATGCTCTGCACAGCAGTTTGACTGGCTTTTGGGGATGGGGATGGGGTGAGGTGCGTGAGCTGACGTTAGATGAAGCCATCCAACGTTGTTGGCCTAATTATGTAATAAAAGGGGCATAAATGCTTTGAAGTCCTAAGTGCATTTGTCAGTTTCTTTGAAGGCAAATAGTAATTGTCATGTTCACTGCCTCACAAATCAAATCTCGTACACATGTTCCCTCCTCCCTGAAGTCAAAGTCTGTGCTGTCGCTGCCACACGCACACACACACACACACACACACACACACACACACACACACACACACACTGAGACATACCACAACCTTTACGGCAGCCTTGATCTGGCATACAGGAACTGCAGGGCCCTCCACCCTTTCATGCCCTGCATCAGTCACCCACATCTGGAGTTGGTCAAAGTCCAGAAGTCCCCAGGGAAAGATTTTGCCCCCCCCCCCCCCCCCCCCCCCCCCCCCCCTCCAAAAAAAAAAGAAAAAAAGAAAAGTCCCATTCTGTCTCTTCCTGGAATCAACGAGGGGAATAAAAATGACCAGACACCCCTCTGTGCGGGTGCATGCAGAGCAAATAGCTAATCAAAAGCTGGTATCATTGCCAGCGATTTTTAACCTTTATTTAACCAGGTGGTCCCGTTGTGTGTTCACCTTTGACTTACAGCTAATTCAGTTGAGTTTATCATATTCTGTCCACACCTTGTGTCTGTGTATGCACTTGTGTTTAGCTGCATGTTAATGGGTGTGTCTCAGGGGAGTCCATTCTGCCTTGAAGTGGTGATAAATGTAGGTTTTCCATAACATGTTGAAGCTTCCTCCAGGCTACAAATCTCTTCTTCCCAGTCAGAGCTGGTTCCACTAGATGCCCCCCCCCCTTGAAGTTCAAACTCATGTTAAATGACTTCCTTGTTCCTGTGCAATCTTTTTGACTATGGTGTTGAAAACCAGGTGACTTGCCCTCGGGCGAAGCTTTATAAAGTCACATCCTGCATTCTGCATGAGATCCTGTGGGCTTCCCTGGGACTCTCAGACTTATGTCTAAGAGGTTTATCAGCTCGTGCCTTGGAGATTAGTCGGTGTTTACTATCAGGATGATTCCACTTCAAACTGCACATTTCAAGCCAATTTAGCGGCCACTTACTCCTCTTAAAAAAAAAAAAAAAACCCACAAAACAGTAGAAATGAAAACCTCACCAGGATGCTTAAATGAATACATAACTTTATTTAAATAAATGCTTTGTCATAACAAAAAAAAAGACAAAGGTTAAAAGAGTACATAAATTACAAGTTGAATAAATATTACACAGTGATATTCACTTTAATAATTTGAGATTTTTTGTCTTTTTTTATTTTTATTTTTTATTTGTCTTATGTAGTTCCAAATACTGACCATTTTATTTCCCACTATCCTCCTGCCACCGATGGGTCTATTTCACAAGCCAGTGAACACCAAATTATAAAAACCAATTGTGTTGTCTCATTACAACCAAAAAGTGTTATGTATTCAGAAAAAAGCTGTACTGTAATTACTGTACTACTGAAGTATGACATGTGAATATGGATTTTAAACCAAGCAGGAGAGGAGAAACCTGAGGAAGTCACTACTCGCAACCAGGTGCGAGAGACAGGAAGCTGCTGATGCAAGAAAGAGGAGACCTTTTTTTTTCTTTCTCCTGAACCTCAACCTGGAACATTTCAGTATTCAAACCCTTGATTGATCCAGACATTAAAGGGTCCCAGATATCAGACATTTCAGAGAGTATTTCAGATTTTAACACTCCTTGACACTCCTGGTTGCAGTACTGCATTCCCCAGATTTCAATGACTCTGAATCCTGATAACTGTCTTGCTAACTGTATCTAATGTCATGCAGTTGGTGGCCCCGTATTGGGGGAAGTGGCTAGGCCCTGATTATGACCACTGCCCATGGCGCTCGCTCTTCCTCTTCCCTCTCTCCTCTGTCTCTTTCCCCCTCTCTCTGTGCAGTAGGCCATGAGAACATCTCTAGCTGTGTGTCACGTTTCAAGCTATTTATTTTTCCCTAAAAGATGTTTCTGTATCGGAGGTCCCAGGCATGGGCTGCACAGCCCCTGTCGACAAATATTACCTCAAAGCACCACCTTTACAAGGTAAGCACAAGATAACACAACATTTAGCTTTTGTGGCTGTTTTTTTTTTTTTTTTCTTTATTATTTGTTCCACTAACTTCATGATACCACATCTTAGGACGTCGTTGTGTGTCAATATCAATAGTGAGTAACTGAAATAAGTGCAAGCTGCTTTTTTTTTTTTTTTCGAAAGTGGTAGTTGGGATTTGGTGTTGGAAGAGGGGCTTAGGAGCCTTGATAATATATTCACAACCCGGAAACCATTTAGGATGCACATATCATTTCCCTTTTGTTGCAGCAAAGGAAATGGTTAATTTACCTCCAAACATCCTTTGGCTTCCCCTCTCTGGCAATCATATACATTGGCATTCACATGAAAAAAAAAAAGCAAGAATCCTAGCTTATCGGTTGTCAGAGAAAGAGGGAGGTCGAACCAACTGCGGGTACACAGCGTCATTCTTGTCCAGAATATGCCCCGAGGTACAGGCAGATTGCAAATGCGTTCGCTGACACCATTTACAGGACCTACCACATTCACTGTTCTTCTCTTGATCAAAACTAAACCGAGACCTATTTGTTGTATCAAGTATCAGCCCTGGGGGTGGGGGTGGGGGAGTGGGGTGGGGGGGGGCAGTGTGAGAAAGCAAATTGCCCTGTATGATATCCATGTCACTTTCACGTCACTATTTAATGTATTTGCATGTAGGAAGGCACTGTGACTTGCACACAGAGAGAGAACAACTCTACTTAAATGACCCTGTTATAACCTGTAGCATTTTTATTTTCATCATGCTCCCCTTAGATGTAGGTAGATAACCTTTGCATGGGGGCATGTGCGCAGAAGGGCTGCAGGGGGTTAGCTTCTTTGACTGCCCAGTAGTCGAATGACTCAGGGTCAGGCTACAAGGACCTATTCAAATTCTTTACAGGCTAAAAAATCTTTTTTTTTTTTCCAAGCACAATTACATTGTTGTCATACTTTTTGTCTCTACAGGAAAAACAACATTCAATAACTATATTTAAAAGTAATGTAATACACCATGGTTACACTGTAGTAGCAGTACTGAGGGGAAACCACTTGATAAAGGAACATGGCTCAAAAGTGGGTGGTCTTTTTACTTCACTGAAGGCAAAGAACAACAGCACAAACAAAACCATACAAAACTACACTTCACACAACTGAATCAGAGAAGCGACCGGCCTTGACTGGCAAGTTCGGTTTACGCGCCGAACGCGTCGTCGAAAGGTCGAAGTCAAACTCGAGTCCCGTCACTGAAACGGGAGAATCTTTATTTCACCAGTAGAGTCAGCGCTCTCTCTAAGCTTTGTGTCGCCCTGCATGGCATTGTCTGTTCAAAATAGGCACAGTTGGCATATCAGGCTAGCTACATTGTCGAAGAGCCACTTAACGTAGGTTCATCTGTGACGATCTGCTCGCTCTTTTGTTTTACGAATGCTCCGTGTCTGTCCCGAGACGTGCTTTACAATAAAGAGAAGGCCAGCCCCAAGACCACTTCAAGCGCTAGCAATACTTGTGACAAAAAAAAACAAAAAAAACAAAAAACAAAAAAAAAACAAAAAAAACAAAAGAGAAAGAAATTAGAACATTCTTTTTTTGTTTTTTGTAATAGGCTCACTCCATCATACACCAACACAGGCTGATACATACCACGCACTCGCACTGTATACATACATACGCACATTCATGCATGCATCGCTTTGTGAAGTTACACATATCTAAGCAGGTTCCCCTATTCATTAAGTGCTCTGACAGAACCACATACCCAGATAGAGTCAACTGTTAAAGCATATCTCTATCACTTGTTGCTTTTCTTTCTTTCTTTTTGGAAAACATACAAAAAAACAAACAAAAAAAAAATACTCAACAGCCAATCATCAGTTCCACAGTAGCATCATGTTCCACAGCCTAAAAACTGATCTGTTTTCAATCAATGTGCCTGATGCTTTTTTTTTTCTTTTTCTTCAAAATGATTTCGTGTTAATGTTACATCATACAAAGTGTTGTATTGAAACCCCCAGCTTCTACAAAAATATATCCATTGTGTGCATATATTTTCATGGATCTGCAATCAGGGGACCCGGCTCATACAAGGGGTCCCATGAGCAATAAGTCAAGGGCTCTATTTAAATCTTCTGGGACTTTTCCCCCTCATTCGACGACGAGTGCTTGGTCAACAACAGAAAAGAAAAGAAAAAAATTACAGGTGTCTTTTGTTCAGCCTGTTCTTTCGTTTGGATTATTTTTTTCTTCCTTTTTTGTTCAATTTGAAAAAACAAAACAAAAAAAAAAAACAAAACAAAAATCTTGAAGTGAACGGAGGGCGGAGCATACAGGTGTGATTCAGAGAGGAGGCGTGGGCCCTGGGTCACGTGGTGGTTAGGGGGTGGGGGTTGGTGGTAGGGGTTCGAGGGTGGTCTTCCCCTTTTCACTCATTGTTGTTGCCACTCTCCAGGTCTTTACACTGAATGTCCCCTCCGCTGTAGTCTGTGCCGGGGAGCTGGACGCCATACTTGTCCACGCACCAGCAGATGCCTCGTTTGCGGCCGCGAGATGGTTTACACTGTGGACCAGAAGACAGGTAGACGGGTTATAAAAAAAGGTGAGGGTGAGGGCCTGTTCACCACAGAAAGTCACACCATGAAGTCCTTTGCGAAATAGACTAGTAGCCTTGAAACATAGTGACTACTGGAAGGGCTAGTCTGTGAACTTGTAAGGTTATTTTTTCACCTGTTAGCTTGGTTGCCAACAGATTCTTGAGGATTTACTTAATCGCAGCAAGTGAATCCACTAATTCCATTGATTTTAACTGATTTTACTGAAAATATTTTGCTGTTTTAAAGACCTTAAAGGCCTTAAAAGTACAGTGCATGCAATGTACTTTGGAAGGCTCTCTGACATTTTAAAGCTCCATATTTTCCTCTTGTGTTTTATTTGAAGTGTTGATCCATCAGAAGATATATTTGTGGTTTTAAGAACCAAAAACCATCTCAATGTAGTTTTACATCTCCTCTCTCAGGCTTCTCTCTGGAGCTCTAGTAACATCAGGTCTGTGAGCAAATCAGAAGAGAGGAGGCTCTGAGCCTCTCTTCTGATTGGCTGACTGTTTTCTGAGTGATCTAATAAAAATATAGCAGATTTCAGGTAAACACTCAGAGAAACCAAAGGTTGGAAGGGGGGTCCAGGTGGGCGGGGTTTGGGGTGTGACTGAGAGCGGTGACTGCTTTGTTGTGACATCACAAAGTTCCAGAAGTCCTGACGGCTGGTTTTAAGGCTCAGTGTCTGAATACAGGCTGTGTGCATTTCTCTGTGGACTGAGCGCTTTGATACTTTCACAGTATTAATATAGAACCTAGACCTGCTTTATGATCAAACAACACATGGACATCTACTTTTATACAATATAGGACCTTTAATGCAAAATTGAAGTGCAAAGACCTTTCAGAGGCAAACTCACCTGCTTGCGCTTGAAGAATCCTTTTCTGTCGCAGTTGGGGAGGTACAAAGACAGAGCCATTACACGAGAAGTGTCCTTCATCCCCTGAATGATCCCATCCAGTTTTCTTCTGCATGGACCCTTTGGAGTGAGGCAGCACAGGGTTACAATCAAGCAGCACAGTCATTCGAGGCAATTCTCCCCTCCAATTAAACCCAAGTTAAACATGTATTAACATGTAACTATGTAGGAAGTGGTTACAAGGGAGCAGCTGTCTGTCGCAGTGTCAGAAATGTCCCGACTCTACACATGTTGCCTTTAAAACATGACACAGGATCAAACTAACACTGAATACTTACAAATTCAGGCTCATGCTTGTCGATGGGCAGGGGGGAGTAGTCCATGGGGGAGCCCATGGAGCGCTGCTTGCCCAGCTTCCTCTTTTGCTCCTTGCGCAGCGCATGGACTTTTTTACTGTTCACAATGTCTTTAGGAAGGAGCGGCACTTTGGCTGGCTGCAGCTCCTCTGTAATCTCTGTGGTCATGGTGTCCTCGTGTTCTCGAGACTCACGATCTGCAATCAATGGAAGACGGGTCAGTTAATGTCACATTTTTAAACCTGTAACAAAGACGAAGCCGTGGATTAATGTACTGTTGTGTACGGCTGGCGGGTCTACGTGATGTCATGGGATTGCATTTAAACAGCACCCCACCTTTCAGAGACATGTCGTGTGTCATGTCTACATATTTTCAGTTCATTTGACATCATTCTGGTTAGGGTTTGTTGGAATGTTAGGGAGTGAAGAGTCAACAGAGAAATGATGTGGCATGAAATGACACAGTGATAACAGAACAGAATGACTTAAGGAAGCTGGCGTGTTATTCATATGCCATTTGCTAAAACCAGGCTGGGTGTGTTGAACTTGCACGCTGCTCAAAATGAAGAGAAATGTAAATGAATAAAGCCAACATTGGTATTTTATCACCATAGAAGTTGTTACGGTCAACATGTTAGCAAAATATTGTGTCTTTACACATCCAGCAGTCATTAGCATTCCTTTAGAGTTCTGTTATGTAATTTACTGTAAGTCAAATGTTCACTATCTTTCTAGCTCTGTAGCTGCTCCATCAACTGGCTCTCAATGATCCCTTATCTTCAGTAGCTAGTTTCTTCTCCTGTGTGACCCTCGGTTCTGGTGTAGTCAACAACATGCTGTATTTATCAGAGCATTAGCTGGAAAACAACACTTAAGAAAGATGTGTGACTCAAGCAAAACAATGAAGTCTGCAGGCTGTAAAACCAAAACAAGGAACTGAAAGACTCTTAAACGCTGCGCAGAGCTGAAAGGAACCGCAAGGTTTTTGAAAGTCCCACCGTTTTTTATATTGCTCATAATCCCTTGATCCACTGTTAATATTGAAATACTGACTCGTGTAGTCAGAGAGAAATGTCATCATCTCAGCTCATAGCAAGTTGTTTCTTGTTGCACCACTTTTCAAATTACGTGTGTTTGTTTATTTCATCTCCAGGGTTATTTCATATGAAACTGGTCTTAAACTTTTATTTGAACCAGAATGTAGAATTCAGGAATGTAAAACATCTCCACAACATCTAAAACCGGTCATTATAGAGCCACAATCAAGCGTCAAGATGAACCAATAAAAATATCACTGAAAGAAAAAAGTCAAAAGGTAGAAATTTTATATCATTATTGCAATGCTCACTATTATATGCTCATTTCCTCTCTGCATACAGTGAGATTCAGCAGCCTCCCACATAAATACAACACCAGGTGCTTTCCCGGGGTTTGTGCCACCAAATGTTGCTTAACATTTGTTTACAGAGGAGGGGAGGCTGGAGCTAAGATCAACAGCTGATGAACTCCTTCAGCTACAATACAACTGTAACTAAACTCACCCACCAACACTGTCCCACCCCCTACAGCCTCCACTTATAATTAGTTACTTATCACAGTTATTGAGAAGCGATGCTGACCTAAATCCGTGAGAACATGAAAGACACCAGATCTTTGCCCAGTAATCTGATATCTTTAGCATATCAGTGAGACATAAACACAGATACACAGATACAGATCAGCTCATGTTTGTGAGCGTCCAGAGCTCTCCGACTTGGGAAAACTGCATCACACGTCGCACGGTCGCCCCAGCACTGTGCCTGGAAAATCTGCTAACACATTATCTGGGCTGCGAAACTGCAACAGGGACTGAGACCTCTGAGTGTAGTAACTTTATGGCGACGTGTCCCACATTAAGCTGATTCAAATGTCAAGCTGAGGAAAATCCAGTTGCTCTGTGGACTCGTATAAATGCTTGTACATTTCTGTCACATTTTATGCAGTTACTTAAGACGTGATTTCAGCTCCCCCAGGGGGCACTATAGTCTCAGAGATCTGAAAGTCCCTGTTGATAGGATATTCACAGGTTGAGGTCCTTTATCCTTAACCTTGCCCCCACCCCCCTCTCCTATCTTTGGGGGCTCAGCCTCTTAAGCCTGAACCCCCAGCCAGAGGTTCTCTGAGGCCACAGAAAGAAGCCACTCTGCCCCCCCACCCCCCACCTTGGCTTAGCTGTACCATAAGTACAGAGTTATTGTGGGGACTTTGCCAGGCCCCAACTGGCTGAAGCGATGGTGCCAGTGGATGACCCTGGTTATATTTATCTGACAAGGAAACCCGCCGTGGTGCACAGGGCCAGACGCACTGAACCAGAGAGGAATGTTGGCTGCGGACTATAGGCCAACTGCTGCTGAAAGACAAATCAACCTCCATACTCGTGTGCTTGTATAGAGAATACGTCGGAAAATGTGATTTAACAAGTTGCCGTAACTCTGCTGACTGGGCCCGTTAGCGCACAGCCACTGTGGAGAAAAGGCACTGAGACGTAACAAGGACAACGAGCTCCGAGAAACTGATGTTCAAAGAACCTGACACAGCATGAGCGTCTGGAGTTTCTGGAAGGGGAGGAGGGAGATGGGAGGGGTGGGGGGGGGTGATTACCAGAATTGGGTCTTTGGCTTCTGTGCTGCACTGCCATCTCTTTGAAATTAATCTCACAACTCATGACTTGGCAGGCCTTGGTTTGTGTTTAGATATGTCCTTGTGTCTCCCCACTCAGACTACGAGGCTATTACTTGCTATAAATAAATACGTCAAACAAGCATTCCTATGTACACCATGCATGCGACCACTGTGGAAAAACTCTTTATTTCTGCTGTACAGCCCAATAATTTCTCAGGGCACTTGATTAAAATGCCACATATTTGGCAGTGAAATATCCGGTAGAAAAAAAAAACAAAAAAAAAAAAAACAAACAAAAAAAAACAAAAAACAGACTGTGTTTTTTTAACATGCATTCTTGTTTCATGTGTAACCTCATTTGGGCATATAAATGGTCAGACTAAGGAAGGTCTGAGCCATGGCACGTCAATTACGCCCACCTCACACGAGTCAGTCACTTTGAGAAGAAGTGTCCTTAGAAAACAATGTCAGAAATGTGGGCTTTTAAAAATTCATATAGCTTTTGTAAAAGACAATGGTGTCTGACTTCTTTTCTCCTCCACTCGAAAAAAAAAAAAAAAAATCACTAAATTCATCTCTTCTGAAGTGGGCTCTTCACTGCAGCCACAAAAACTCAGTTTTTCCATGCTCAGGGTACCCAGCTTGTAAAGGAGGCTTAGAGGGGTCTGTGTTTAACTCCTGAAACTCAGCCAAGATGCTGGACCGGAGCCAAGTGAGCCAAGTCATGTGCGGCTCTTCCATTCAGCTGAGCCCAAAGCTGTGCGTGCTATCCCCCCCCCAACCCCCACCCCCCACCCCTTGCTCCAGCTAAAGATTTCATTAGGACGAGAGGAGCGGAGAAGCCAAAGGAGGTGCACCTGATACTTCTCTGTTTAAAAATTAACATCTGCACACAATTATGCTTCATGAATATCCCAAGTTTCTTACAGGCTGTAGTCCAAGCATGAAAGATAAGACACCCCGTCTTTGGATTTTTCTCTCCACCTGATCTTTAAGACTATAATAATACCATTTAGATAAAAAAAAAAAAACAAAGACTGGACAATAGATTCTCCCACCTTTCATTGGATTTCCCAGCATTACACCACGTTTGTTTCATCCTGCCTTTGATTAAGTCAGTCTCTGTGCAGCATCTGAAATTACATCTTTACAAGAAGTAAGAGAGTGGTGAATAGCGGTGCTGTTTAATCTCAACAGGGGGTATGACAAGATAATTGTGGGGATAAAATGAGCCTGAGGGCCCTGTGTCATATAAAGCACAACGTTAGTAAGCTATCCCTCAGCCTCAGACTGCCTCAGCTACTTAATATTTGAAAGAAGGCCATGGCCTGATAACCCTGTAGTTTCTAGAGCAGAAAGGGAGGTGTGAACTACCCAGTGGAGTTGTGTTAGTCCCTGAGGGTATGTGTGTGTGTGTGTGTGTGCAGCGCCACAAAACTTGATGGTCCGGATGACCAAGAGAAATGGGTCAGACAGGCTTTTTTCAAAACTGTAGCAAAGTTACCACCACTAGAAAGAATTTGCAGATGAAGTGACAAAGTTAGTATCGTGGGAGCGAAGCACGATTCGACTAAAATAAAAGTCTGGTTGGCAGGTAGGACCTTCATAAGGTGATTTACAGCCAGTGAGTTACATCCTCTGCACGACTTGACAGAAGCGCACAAACTTTTATCAAATGGTCTGTCCGTGATTGCACATTTGTTTGACCACAGGAGTAAGGGAATTATGTTTTGAGCCTTATGTCCTGTTGTTTCAGAGGAATTTCTGTTGTGCACGCACTCAATCAGCCACTGAATATGCAGGAAATAACTCTTCCCATGGTATTGTGCACACAGAATATGTTCATTGCAATCAAAAAGTTTCCTGCTTTTCTGAATGTAGGGTATAAATAGCAACAAGAACAATTCAAGGATTATAAATCACAAAACAGGGACTTATGAGAGGATGCACAATCCTTCCAAGTGGGAAATGCTCCTATAGGTAAGCAAACTTTCTGACCTGTTTACAGCTCCCACAGTGTAAATAAACGCTCGGTCCGCGTTGCAGGCGGACATGTGAAAAGCACATTATCAGAGCGAGGCGCACGGCGCTTCTACCGTACATTCCTAATTTTGGTCTGAGGTCTCTTCCCACATCTGAGTTTGGGTTTGCAACAAGCCGCACGGACGGACGCAACCTCTTTTTTTGGGTCACGGTCGCCACAACACAATTGCTGGGTGTGACGATGTTCTGACTCCCCAGCGGCAGAGGCAGCTATTTTGGCGAGAGCGGAGCGGCACTGTACAAGGCAGCATAGAAAGAAACATCACAGTGGGTGTAAAAGTAGCTTCAAGACTAATTTGCGTTCAACACGTTGTTTTGTGGGATTGGACAGAGGGATGGTGTTATTCTTTTATCTTGAAAAGTGCTTCTAGGTGATCAAAACAATACCAACAATTTCAATAATCATGACGCATTTACGAGGAAGCGCTATTCAATGCAAAGGATGAGCTTACTAGCTGGGACTGGCTACAACAAAAGGTTCACCTGTCTCACATTCAGTGTTTCAGAGGAGTCACCGGAGCCTCCATTGTTTTTCAACTCCTCAGAAACTTAAGAGGACTGTTTTTTTTTTTGTTTTTTTTTTCTTTCTTTCTTTCTTTTTTGTCCTGCCAGCGACTGGACTTTTCAGAAACTCCGTCCGACTCAGTGGAGACAAAGCGATGATTCTGGTCCTTCCTCGCACCATGCTGGCGTGCGACCAGGTGTCAGTGGGTGAGATCACAGCGGACAGGTCACGTCTAAACACGTGACATCATTCTAAAGCCCAGCATGTGGCCGTCCCTGCCTATTTTGAATCGCATGCCTGCAGCGCAGGGAGAACGACAGTGAGTGTTGATTTCTTTCACAGCTGCTGCCGCCACCAGCAGCAGGATAGGTGTCAGTGACCAATAAGCAGCACGAATATCTCTCTAAAGTTTTACAGGGGGAAATCAGACAAGTGTGCCAAAGAGGTTAGTGGCTTGCCAGGGATAGGTCCAAAAGGCCTAGACTTGTCCCTGTGACTTTAAAAAAAAAAAAAAAAAAAAAAAAAACAGACAAAACCAGCTCTACATCAACAGTCTCAGTGTCGTATCTAAGAAACAGCTTCTCTACCTGTTTCCTGGCATCACATATTCCATAAATTACGTGCTTTTTTTTTTTTTTTTTTTTTTTTTACTTGAAGTCCTCCTGTGATATCGTGACAAAATGACCTTTCCAATAATTCTCCCTAGCACCTGCAACAGATCAGTTGCAGCATGCTAAGCTTTCACTGCGCTGTCTCAGATGTTCAAGGTGAGACGGATGGAAAGCCACATGCAGTCTTTCCTTTCACATGAGCCCATCATGAAGCTGTCAGGCAGCTGGGACCACACGTGACCAGAGCTATATCCAATGTGGCATGTCTGTATGAGCACGCAACGTCCACAGCAGATGGACTAATGACAACCAGCCACCGTGCTCTCTTAAGTGTGTATTGCGTATGGTCAGAGAGAGGAAGAAGAAGAAGAAGAGGAATCAGCGTTTTTTTTTTTTTTTTTACCGCTCGCTTCAGTTCCTCAGCTACGACCCAATAACCAGCTGTGTCAGTGATGATGTGGACATGGGAAAAGCAGATGGTGATTCTCAGAATTGAAGTGCTTTCTAAAAGTATGTGATGACAAGTGATTTTGTACGCTGCTTAGAAACGTGAAGGTAACACTGTTAGCGTATGTACATACATAAATACATGAAGTTCTCTGGCAAACATTAAGCATCAGTCCGCCTGCAGTTGCTTGACTGTAAATATTGATGACAAATACATGTGACATGAGGAAAACCCACTGAAATAACTTTCTGGCAACAGGTTAGAGCTGCATCTGAAGAGCCAAGACAAATGTAAAGCATTACAGGAGCAGGTTTCCTGTTGCTATGCTAATAAGGGGCATAGCGTTTCTCGTCCGTGTCTGTGTGGAGTATTCTGGATTTGGAGCCACTCCCTAATCATCTTTTGTTTCTTGGCACAGAGCAATCTGTTCAAACATAAGGCCCCTTTCAGGAGCTTGAAGGACGAGGGGGCCTGCTGCCATGAAGTCATATCTGTTGGCAAGCTTTCCGGGATCTGATTCACTCATAGGATTGGGGGGGGTGGGGGGGGTTGACAAAAATCTAAGTGCCGCCCCCCCCCCCCCCCAACAGCACATATACCACCTCCTGTGCTTTACAATCCATGCAACTCCTGGGATCACAGTGCAAGCAAAACATGAATTAATGCACTGCTGGGACTTGAACCCAGACGCAGAGAGTGATGGTCCAGGATTCTTTTTCTTACATGAGGGAGGGAGGATGGGGGGGGTGGGGGGGTGGGGGGTGGGGGGCTGTAGGATAGCAAAGATTCCTCTCTCCCATTGTTTAGCTGCCCCAGTCAATATTTAGTAGGCTGCACCTCTCATGGCCTCCTGAGTGTGGCGGACACTTGAGCTCCTCCTCCTCCTCCCTGTGTTTGCCTTGCTCAGCTGGTACAGCACACAGACAGCTGCAACCCCACACCACAGGAAACCAGAAGCTCACCTCAACAGTTCCCATCGGCGGAGCTGTTTGACAGAAGGCCCTTCAGAGGAAAGAGAGAGCCGGAGGCATTCTGCTGAATCACTGCGTTGTGACTGAGCGCCAATGCAATGAATGCAGCGCCAGAGGCAGGAAAAGATGCTCTGATTACCTCTGTGGGCCAACAAAGAAGTTAGGTTCCGTGTGTGTGTGTGTGTGTGTGTGTGTGTGTGTGTGTGTGCGCGCGCCTGTGTGTGTGTGTGTGTGTGCACGCGCGCGCGCGCAAAGCCAGAGTGAGACAAAACTGCCGGAGGTGTCATCACTCACAACAATGCACACCCAGACACCCACACAACCCCACCCAAGTACACGTGAAAGTAAACACACACACACACACACACTTGAAACACACACACACACACACACAAACTTGAAACACACACACACTTGAAACACATACACAAACACACAGCCTACCTTTACATGGACTCAGCGGTCAATGCTTTGCAAAACGTGGTTTACTGTGTATTTTCAGACTCCACACCACATTCTGCTCTAATGTCATTAAGAGGAGAGGTGAGGCTGCAGCTCGCTGGCTGCAAACACCCTAATGATTCTGTCAACAGCCAAAATGAGCCCAGTGGTAGCCTATTTTATAGAATGAGGCATGTGGCCAAAACCTTTGTGGTTACCACCTACTTATCTAGTTGTTGACAAGCTGCTAAAACTCTGAGTGACAGTGGACCTCTCTGCTGCACCAAGAAATGTCTTTAATCATTCAAGGCTATTGGCTCTGGCTCTCTGTCTGTCAGACTGTCTGTCTCTCTGCCTCTCTTTCTGTCTCTTTTCTCTCTCTCTCTCTCTCTCTCTCTGCGTCTCTCTCTCACGCACAGGCTACAGATTTAGTGGTAATCCGACTCTAAACACCACCCTAGGGGTACAGCCCGAAGACCTAAATCTATCTGAATTCTGCTTCAACAAGAACCCAAAGTTTGTGCACCTCATGTGGTCGCTCTGTTCCCCACGCGTTTCCCCTCCAGCCTGGATCGCTCTCCACATCTCGAGTGGTTAGGTGCGAGTGATATTGGGAATGAAAGACATGAGACTTGAGTGCGCTCCGGCGTGAGGATGGAAAATCGCGTCGTTTGACAGACACTTGTTAAAGTGCTGAATATTAAAGGCGGCAATTTGCAGAATAAGCTCCACTTTAGGGGTTTCCTCATTTTCCCTCTCAATATTCCTCACATAAATAAGCGCTGCTTTGGCTCACAGAACCCTTTTAATAAAGTTTTTGAACATTTTTTTTTTGCCAAGATCAACAGCAGAGACGGAGAGAATTCTTCAAGGAAATGCGTTTAGTAATTGAAATGTAAATATATATATATATATATATTTAAAAAAAAAAAACAAAACAAAAAAAAAACAGGGAGCTGCCTGGATCCGTGTCAGCCTCTCTTAGGTCTTGCTAAACCGCAGTTCGACAGACACTGTCCCGCTAACAGGCTCTACTCAGCCCGGGATCACACCATGTGCGCTTTCCGCAGCGGAGCGTCGAGCCGCCCGCAGCAGATTATCCGGCATCGGGCACACAACCAGTTTTTTTTTTTTTTTTTCTTCTTCCTTTTTGTTCACCCCGTGTTTTTACTGTAAAGAGTCATTACGCGCAGCCTAACTCTACGGTGACAGTACAGCTGGATGCTGAGCCTGCGGCCATCAAGGTGCATTCGCTATGTCTCCACAAAGAGAGAGAAGAGCAGGAATAAGCTCCTGCAGCCAGTTTAATCGAGGCAGTGGATAAAAGTTAATCAGATGGCACCTCAAACCATCTGTCAAACAAACGGTCTGTCAGAGAGCACCGGTACCGGCTACTCCTGAGCCACAACAGCGGGTCTTCGGGTGAGGGAAGGGAACCACACAGGGTCCCTATGCGTGGGAGAAAAGGGAGGAAAATAAAGAAAGACCAAAATATAACTGACCGAAAGCTGTTGGATCTGTCGTGAAAGATTCCCTGTTGTAGCCACTAGACATTGCGATACCACACGCACAACAGCACACAGTGGATTCCCGCATGGGACGAGATGTTATTAAACACAGATCCACAGAGGAGAGGGGAGACTGTCCTGCGCTACAGGAGACTTTTCAAGAACTCTACTGATTTTAAAAAAGGCTGGTTCCCGGCATGCATTCATTCAGCCAGCCAGCCGGTGCGGGTCTTACCTATGGGCGGGTGAGCAGGTTTGTATCCTTTCTCGTTGGTGCACACTCCCCTGCCGTGGAGAAGGGCGTGCAGGGGCTTCTCCTCCCCGCTCCTCGGCAGGCAGCGGAGGCCCTGGGTGCACGTCCCGGTGTAAACGCCGCACGCCTGCCCCTCAGACAGGGCGCACGTTAGGCAGCAGCCGCAGCCCGGCTCCTTGACCAGCTGGCAGCCGACCGGGACCGGAGGGCACATGGACAGCGCCTTCTGGTCACAAGGCTCGCACGGCACGTATGAGCCCAAGCACCCGGACAGCCCCAAGATAAATGTCACCAAGAGGCAAAAACTCAGAATCATTGTTGGTCTTCTCTTCAGTTATAGCATAAACCTCAAATGCGAAGAGGAGGGGAAAAAGTAGACTGGTCTAATGAACACAATGCCTCAGTCAGATAATCCGATTTTTACAGCTAAAGCCAAGAGTCTTTATCCAAGAGTGTTGCTATCTATTTAGAAAAAAAAAAACCCCAAAACATTAATTACAGGCTTGGAGCTGTGCACCGTGCAAAAAGAGTTCAAATGACAAGTTTCAAATATGTGTGCTATATTTTTCCCGAGGTACTGTCCTCTGCATGAGCAAAGCAATTCTTTGCACAAAATCTCAACTTCTCTCCCCCTTCAGCTTGGACTCCAATACTTTCTCCACCAGAGGTTTCCTGAGCAGACTGATCAACTTGAGAGCTGCCTTGCCTTTTTAAAAACAGCCGAGCCCAAACCCCTAACTATGAATACGCTAAACAGCAGGGAAGGGAGGCGCACTTGTTCCACGGCTTGGCAGGCGGCCAAACATTTTTTTTTTTTTTTTCAGCAGCAGCAGCGGCAGCAGCAGCAGCAGCAGGACGAGGATCGCTCTTTCACCCTGAATGCTGAACTGATGCCGAGGTACAAGAGGCAAAACGCAAAAACCTCATCAAAACATTTCAGCAGGTTTTGACTGGCTGGAGGCTTGTAGCTGTAAATTTTCTTTCTAAGTGCAAAATATGTCATAATCAACAAGTCATCCACACTCATATTGAGCCATAAAATCTCACTTTAGTGTCAAACAAGCTTATTTTTTTTATTTTGTTTTTATACAATGACTGAGATAATTCCCCTGGAGACCGATATAAACAACCTTATAAAGAATAGATTTACAAATGGCAAATAATTCAAGATCACTGTGCCAAATTTAACTGAAAATAATGGAGTTTGAATTACAGATTGCTAGATTTGAAAACCGTCTTTTCTTTTGAAAAAAAAAAAAAAAACTTTTTTTATTCGGAAGGAAAAATCATTTTCTTACATCATGATTCTTCCCTGGCCATAAAAGATTAATCATCGGTAACCCCCCTATACTTGAGTCATAAGTGCCTCATTCTCACGGGTTTCAATGGAATATCCTCAGTTTAGTAAGGGGGAGCAGAGCGGAGCTGTGCTGCTTTGCATTCATGGTCGGAACAGACAAGAAAAACGAAGAGTCTGTCAGAGGAATGACCAGCACCTCACTGAAACACTGACTGGGGCTGTGCAGATGACACTGGCACTGATAAGTCACCTTTAGAGCATGCACCTGTTGCTTCCATTGGACACCATTTATGTTGCAAATGTAGCCAGGAGGGGAACCAACCTACACGCCCCCTTTTCTCTCCCTCTCTGTTTGACACACACACACACGCACACACAGACACACACACACATATATATATATACAAGAGGAAAAAGAGAAAGTCATGTGCAGAGAAGAAAAGAGAAAAAAAAAGGGGGGGTGTCACGAACTCTGAGATTTGAGGCAACAGCCTGACAACTTAAGTGCAACTGGGCTCTATGATTTTATAGCCTGCACGCAGAATAATGCCTGATTGCTTCAGCGTGTGCTTTTCTTTCTCTTGCACCACATATACGCAGCCTGAACCAGTCTCAGTGAGGGCTGCTCTTTCCATCTCTGCAGGTTTAAAAGCTGACCACCCCCCGCCCCCCACCCCCGTCCTGCAGTAACATTCAGGAAGCTGTATCCGTTTGTCCTCACTACATCCACTCTCACATTGATAAAAGTAATTTCCCAAACGTGGCTTTTTTTTTTTTTTTCTTTTTAAACTGAGGATCCACAGAGAAGTGACGCCAGTTTAGCAGTTGACCACTAGAAGGCGCTGTTAACAATGATAAACTCTGTGGAGGAGCTCATCCTCCTGTCCTCTGCATGTAGCTTAGAAATCAGAGAAATGACCACATTAATGACACATAACTGCAAACCATGGCCCTAATAATGTACTCGACTCTGTACAGTAGACTCACAGAGTACATGCAGCTGCTGGATTGGTGCGCATGAAGCTAAAAATAGAGCCGCTGAAGTATTTATTTCATACTGAAAATGAAATGTTCCCCATGGAATCAGTGACTGTATAATTACATAATCTCACTTATATGAAATCAACTTCACATGGGCATTTCTAATTTCCTTTGGAATCGCTCTCAAAAATGTGATTCACCACAACATTAGTATGGCACATGTTTAGTGTTTCCTTTATTTCAGTTCAGCCATGATTGTTTAAAACGCGGTTTACAGGGGATGTTGAAGGCTTCCATAACCACTGTTTACATATCTGGACTGTTTTTTTTTTTGTTTTTTTTTCCTCCATGGCTTTTTCCTCTGGTTTCCCTTACATGCCTCCATCCGTGCTATCACTTCCCATCTTCTGCATTCAACCGTAAACATCTGGAACGGGCTGCAGTTTTTGTCAGAGTTTAACACACAGGGACAAATTCTAAAAAAAAAAAAAAAAAAAAAAAAAAATAGAGGTCACACATTAATCCAGCAGCCACAGAAACTGCGCTGAGTGAATTGTGACGGCTGAACGTTTCAGCAGCCAACCCCGGAGAAAAAAGTTGTGGTGAGTCAGTGTTCCCTCCAAAACCAGCAGGAGCGGCAAAACCCCTGCAAGAGCGAACTAAGACATAAATCTGAGCTACTTTGGCCAAACCCGAGCAGCGATAATGAATGGGATTAAGACAGTAAAGCAGCGCGGATTAATGATGCATCCACCAAATCTCATCTGGGCATGAGACGATGGATGAAGAGACAGGACGACAAATTTCAAGGAGAATATTCTCCATTTAAAGATGAACAATATTATACATGTTGTGAGGGGACACAGTGTTGTTGTTTTCTTTCTCACTGCTAATCATAATTCCTCAAATATCTGTTCATGTATCAATCCATCTGCCCCTCTCTCCTTCTATCCATGCATCATTCTACTTAAGCGAACAATGATGAAGTTTCACTCTGGACCCAAAGTGCAAACTCTTAAAGACTGAGTGGTTTCTTTGTGTGGTAGCATCGTTTGAATGCCAGAAGACTCATCACCTGGCACTGCACTTTCCCAGACTACATCTACGCTACTTAACTACTGGCAGTTTCAGCGGCTCAGCAGTGTAAATGGAGTCCAAGTGAGCGTCATTTGGACTACTTGGGCTGAAGCATCATAATGGATCTACGTAAAAGAGGCTTAAAGCTCGGCTCCCACTCCAAAACCAGAAAGTGCTGAGCAGCATTAGTTACGTTATTTTACTGGTGGATGTTTCTGCTGCATCTCAGCTATTATCAAAGGGGGAATAAGATGGAGTAAATGTCTTACAAGAGTTTTGTATTTTTATTTATTTTGATAAGTTAAGTTCTATCATTGTTGTTGCAGTTCGAACTGGACACAAGAAGACGTCACAGATTTCTTCAGATTCATGAGAAGACAGTCTGAAAATCTTACATTTGTTGCCATCTAGTGGTTGAATTGTTCACAATATAAAGGTGATGTAGTATTGTACCATGGTGCAGTGTGACATCACTGGTGGGTGTAGCTGCAAGCAGAGCAACCTTAAATCTCACACGAGTCAGTGCAACAAAGATTTAACCCTCTTCCTAAGATCTTTTGCCAATTTGGCCTCACAAGACATTTTGCATGTTATAAATATTCATTAGTTTCAACTGTAGCGCCAGACAGAGGCTTGATGGCAAAACTTAACTTAAGTAAAAATACTCTGTAAAAAGTAAAGTCCTGTATTGAAAATGTTACAGTACATTATAGTACATTATTATTAGTAACAAAATCCACTTGAAGTATCAAAAGTAAAAGTGTCCATACCAAAAATAAAGGTACCTATTGACTGCATTAATGTATAAGTGTAATTTAATTTTGTTAATTGGTTGAGGTGGAGCTAATTTGAACTATTATACATACTGTTGGGAAGTTTGATCATAGTATAATTTGTCTCTCTGAATTGTAGTGAAATAGTATAGTAGAATAAAATTAAATGATAATGGAATGAAATAAACAAACCTGTGTAACATTCAAGCATTTCAAATTTGCACTTAAGTACAGTATTTGAATAGATGTACTTACTTACATTCCACGAAATGTTAATTGTTGGCACAAATTTTCGTCTCCTGCCTGACATTTGGATCCTGCTCCCCATGTCTATTCTTGAGCCCATTGTCCACAACCCTACTTTCTCCCAGAAAGGTCACACCACTTCCTGCCAATGGCAACGATTGTTGCTACTGGACATAAATCATGACCTTCACAATTGTCCAATATGAACATAATTCCTGGGATAGTCAGATGTTAGTTTGTAATAATATGGCTTTGTTTAAAAGTTACTTCTAACTGGTTGATGATACATCCTGAGAGTTCAGCAGCAAAGAGGTTCAGCCATGTTTTTTTTTTTTTCTGGCAAATCAATGGATTCACCTTCTCCCAGAAGAATGTCATTCATTGGTTAATGCATCAAACTTGTCATTGAATCACGGACAGTTTTCCAATATTCACCAAATGCAAAACATTTGGTGGCTGGGTTTGTTTTCATGGCTGTGGATAGATATTTGTGAGTAGTCTGGATGTAAGCCACAGATGTTTCAACACTATCTGCTTTGTATTTAACTAAAAACCAACAGGCATGGTTTGCACATTGCTTACTACTGATTTTATTATGTCAGCGTTAGCTGCCAGTATGCTAAGCTCGCGTACTGTGTGAACAAACATCGTGTGACATGCAGTACTTACTGTATGCATATGTGGAGTATGAGTTTAATTGTATGTTTATGTGTGTGTGTGTGTGTGTGTGTGTGTGTGTGTGTGTGTGTGTGTGTGTGTGTGAATGTGTGCCTGCGTGTGTGTGTTTGTGTGGTCAGGTGTATTTGTGTTTTACGTCCTTGCATTCCCCATAGATGGAAAATAACGAATGCCAGAGTACGCGGCTTGTAATTTTTCTTGTTCCACTTTGTCAAGTCGTCACTTTACATATACACAAGAGGAGTGCGTGATACACAAACACTCTTGGGCACACAAACAGTCCCATTTCCAAGGACATACAGAAAGGTGTTGTTGTGTATATCTGTTGAGACCAGACAGCACGGCTCCGGGAATAAACCTGTTAGCGGTCTGCAGTGTGTCATTTAAACTACAGAATAAAACGAATAGGCTGTTCTGGAGTCAGTAACTTCTATAAAAGTGTGAGAAAGACATGAGGACGTGCAAATGTGAGTGTGCATGATAGAAAGCAATGAAGAAGGAAAGGAAAGAAGGGATTTGACCAACACACTGGGCACACAAAGAGCTTTGATTTACAGACATAATGGCCGAGGGCGGTTTTATTCTTTGTGAAAGCAGCGGATCTCTGTGCTGC